CAGCGCGAACAGCCCCTCCATGCCGGCCCGCGGGCACAGCTCTCGCGAGAGCTCTGTCTGTGTGGTGTGAGGCGCGTAGGCGAGGCGGTCGTTCTCTCGCGAGAGTTGCGCCGCAGGCGCTCAGCCTTCGCGGGCGGTTGTTCTCCGTCCCCGCTCCCTGTCCGGCGCATCGCGGGAGGCGCGGGCTGTGCCCTGGGCGCCCACCCCCTCGTCACCCCGCAGCGCAAGGGGAGACCATTGAGATCATCGAGTCCAACCTGTTAACGAACACCACTAAGTCAGTTAGACCATGGCACTCAGTGCCACGTCCAGTCTTTCCATAAACACCTCCAGGGACGGTGACTCAGCCACCCCCTGGGCAGCCCATTCCAACGTGTAATCACCCCTTCTGTGAAGAAATTCTTCCTGATGTCCCACCTAAACCTCCGTGGCACAATTAAGACTATGCCCTGGTCATGGGAGTATATTTCTTTTCAAAACAAAACCTAACATTTTGGTTTTCAGTTGCAACTCAGAAATTAAAAAAGCGTTTTACTTTCCAACAATCCTGGTTTCTACTAGCCACCATTTAAAGGAGACTTGTGATAAGACTTCCTTAGGTTGCATATTACAGAAGACTAATTTAGGAAACAGGCATGGTGCAGAGGCAGGGTTTTGGAGCCACGTTTCGTTACCTGCTACCACCCCAAATACCACAGGTATGTATTTGGATCTCCATTAGTTACATTTAGTATTCTTTTTAAAATAGCTCTGGTCCTTCTCAGTCTTCCTTTCTTAGAAATAGACTTCAAATTTTCTTGCCTTTTTTTTTTTTTTCAAAGACTGGAAGACTGAGGAATTTTGCTGATTCAGTGAAGTCTTTCACTGACTTTGTTAGTACCTTGAAGTACTAACATTTTGTCTCAAAAAATCCCAACCCAGACAATTGGTATCATTAGCAGCAACTCAGCAACTTTGGTTTAAATCTATCTTTTGAAGGCTCTGAAATGCCTTTTTTCCTCCCTTAATTCCTGTACAATTTCAGATGTCTCAACACAAAGAGATATGTCTGTACAGTTGCATGCCTGTTTATAGATGAAGTATGAAAAAAAAAGATCTTGGAAAAACATGGATTTTTCTGGATTCACAATTAAATCTATTTATTCTGGTGTTGTTCTAAAGATTGCATTTTTTGCAGCTCAAATGCTGGAGTAAAGAGCTGTTGTTCACCTGGATATAAAATTGCTCTTCTCTGTGAAGAATGTGCAGGGCGATGCTTGGAATTTGTGCAAATATTTGGCCTGGTGGCACTCTGATTCAGAAAGGAGTCAGACAGTCTGTTGCAATATTCAGCTGCAACATAATAGCAGTTCTTAAAATACTCCAGCTTAAAATGCCACCCAGAGAAAACTTATTTAGTCTTTTCTCAGTTGTCTGTTGAGTCAGCCACTTGTGAAAAGGCAATAAACAGGAAGAAATTCAGGAATTAGCGTGGCAGCCTTCGATAACTCTCTTCTTCAGTTCAGAAAAAAATGAAAATTTATGAAATACAGAGGCAAGGCATTTGAGGGTTTTTGCAATATATTTAGATTTCTCTCTTGAAGACTCTAGAAAAGGTTTTGAAAAGGAATAAAGTCAAATAAGAAACCTAAATCTATTCAGAAATTACTGTTTACATCTGTTTCTGTATATTGTGCAGAGTTTTGCAGGGAACTTTGCTGTTTCCTGTGTTCAGATTCTACTTTATGATCCTTAATTCGAGCTGACCCAGATCTAGTGATGTATGGAGCAGTCTAGGAACAGTTGCAATGGTATTATTGGCATAGGCATTTTGATATCTATCAAAATGAAGGATACTGTGCTTTTTTCCTGTTTCTCGGGGTGTACCCTCCTATCCACAAAGTGCCCCATCAGTTGGGTGGTCAGAGCAGCTGGTACAGAACCTACTCAGACATACAGCTCCAAAATTCCTTCATGTTGCCACCACAAAGATGCTTGTTAACTCCTCTTACTTCAGTGTGATAGCTCTCACATTTATTTTCATTCTCTACTATCTTTAGCAGACTTTGGGACTGTTAAAATAAACATTCTTTGCCTAGTAATGTGGCACTTCTCCATTTGGCAGACATTTGGCAAACAAAATTTCATTGCTGTCCATAGTATTTTATTTTTTCAGAGTGGTGAGAGTTACGGCTTGTGGCTGAACTACGTCTACAAAGTCAGCAGGGGTGGCACACAGGGTTGTTTTCTCATTACCTCGTGGAGGGGTGGGGGAAATTGTTGGCCTTCGAGGTGCATGTGAATCTGTGGCTTTCACAGCCAGCTTAAAAATATAACCTGTGCCAGCTTGTCTTCTGATTCCGAATTTCTTCGAGGATTAATGGGACTGCAGCAAAACACAGCTTCTCCTTCTGTACTGAGCTGTCATCATCATCTTTCTTAGATCCAGTGAAACTTGGTCCAAGTAGACACCTGAAAGAAACATGGAAAAATCTGGCAAATACCTGAGAGAGAATGATATTGTGAGACCCAACAGGAAGCAGGATGTCACAAATACAGGAGCTCAGACAACTGTATTGAGCATAATAATGAGACATATCCATAAGGGTCACATATGGGGTGATTTCCTTTATTTAAAAAAGTTCTTATTAAAGGCAATAGATGATTTTGCTTAAAACAATAGTGAAGGGTCAATCTCAGGATTCAGCTCATTGAATTTTCTTTGCATAATACCCAACAACATGCAAAGCCAATTTCCTTAAATAACTAGGTGTCATGAGCACATGGAGGCTTTTCTATCAGTTTTTTATTTTATATAAACCATCATGAACTCATTTGGTATTAATGGAAACCCCACGTGTTCACACGCTGTCATTTGTCATTAATTAATGTGTCATTGTTTAAATTGTGTTACTCCCCATCCAATAGCTGTGGAGCTCTCAAAAGTTCTCAAAAGGAATAGATTTATTTTCTTTGGCTCCATGGTTGCAGCCTGTTCTTGTCCTGCACATATATACTGAATGAGGAAAGGATTCCAGGTGCTTAGCCATCCAAAGAGGACAGCTTAATCACACAACAGCACATATGCCTGTATATGTTTGAGAAGCAGACAAAACCTGCAGCAGAAGTTTTCATAAAGGTATAGGGATCCTTACAATTCCTGTTGTAACTGCAGAGCAGGAGAGGTCCTTGGCCCCTCTCACAGACATTCTTTTTCTAGGCAGTGATTTTTCAGACTCATCAGCTCCTAAAAGGCTATGTTTACAGCATTCCTCTAGTTCAAGCTGGGAACCATTGGGGGCAAATTGCAGTTCAAATATCTGACAGAGCTTCTGACAACGAAGGCTCTGGTAAGCCTCAGGATGGTTCTTAAAGTCAATTCAATAGTTAGATGAGATTTCATTAAAATAAAAATTGAAGATGTCTGCAAATATTTGAGTAGGAAACAGCTAGTATTGTGTGCATTGTACCATCACACTGATGACACTCATTGTTTAATCTGTCATAATTACCATTGTAAAGTATGTTTTTTCAGAGGTTTTTTTTTCAGTACAGCTGTTTTGTTCAGTGCCCACTTTCAACCTTTATGCTGTTTCTCTTTTTCCCTTTAAAAACAAATTAAAACTAATTTGACTGTTTTGAGAGCTCTCCTTTAGAGAGAGCAAAACAAAAGAGCCAGGAATGTTGCTATTCAGAGCTGGACCAGATCCTCCTCACTGGATGTGCACGAGGCTGAGTGATAGCCAAGTGCCTTTGCCCAGTATAAAGGAGACAGAAAATTTCTATCCCACTTAGTGAACTGGAGGTATGAACCTGCTTGTTGAGGCTGCAAAAAGAAGCATCAATTAGCCCTGTATTTTTCATGTCCCTTCTTGTTTTCCAGGGAGATGTGGTTGAAGTCCCATGGTTCAGTAAGGCAGACTGGCAGAGAGATGGCTCTCTAATGCATGCCTGACTTGCCTGGCAGTGGAATTTCAAAAATTGAGGTCCTTTTCTTGGTTAACAGCTGTGTTCCTGGGATCTCAACAGTGATGTCCCTCTTTCATGCTTTATCCCTTCAAGCTTCTGTCCTTACTCTTGTTCTACCAGGCAGCAAGCATGGTGTACTTCCCACTGGTGTCCTGCTAATGTCTATAACTTGCTGACTCACCATGGTGGTGGCTGTGATGTGACACTTGAATATATGGGGAAAGGGCAAAATCATGGCCTGTTACATGGCTGGAGTGATTAGAAGGAAAGAATAAACTGTATTTTAGGATGATAAGTGTGGGAGTCTGGAGATCTAGCTTCAACTCTCTCTTTTGACATAGATTTCTTTGGGAAGATTTCTGTGCCTGAATTCCTCTCATAAGACATGACCAATTTTCACAAAGATGCTGAGTGGATAAGTACTCCCTGGAAGGGAATAAATATCTGATTTGCAGCACTCCTGCCAGCCCTGCAGGCCCCTTCCCTGGAAAGTGATGGCAAGTGGCTATCATCTGGATGGTTTTGCTTGCCTCTGAAATGCAGTACCACAGCCCAGAGTGAGACCACCAGCCCTTCACAAGCAGTGAAGTGCAGCTGGAAGTGAGCAATTCCTTATGGCAAGACCCAACCAGCTCTTTCCCACATTTCAGAAGTGGGCACTGCAGCACAAGGGAGCACTGAGAGGCCAGTGCCTCTACAAGGTTCCCCGTGTTGCCACACAGGGCTGTTAGGCCCTGAAAATGTGGCATCCTGTCTGAGCTAATTATCTCCCCGGCTCTTGAGAGGGCCAGTCCAGGCACGGCACTGTGCTGACACAACTGTCCTGCTGCCGGTTCCTTGGCTGGCACTGTCTGGGGGATCCCAGCGCTGCACTCCATTGCAGAGCGTAGCTGTGCCTGTAGGAACTTTTCACAGGTAGTCATGGTGCTGGAAAAACATTTAATTCACTGCAATGCGAAGAGCCCCGTGGGCTACAGCTAGGGAGGAAAATAGGCTTGTTTCTCTTGTGCTACACCATGTATTCTGCATGGGCAGGAAGACGCGTGTAAGCCCCTGACACATGGTCAGATGAGAGCTGTGCCGTTGCAGAGGCCTGGCTGGCCAAACTTCCTTGTTGCTAACTCCACTGACCTTTAGTGAGCTGATTCAGGGATGTCTTTGGCTAAGTAAGTTCAGCTAAAGCATCTGTGATTGCCCTAACACAAAGTCTCCTGATTTTGCG